CCGGGCGCGGTGGCTCAAGCCTGTAATCCCAGCACTTTGGGAGGCCGAGACGGGCGGATCACGAGGTCAGGAGATCGAGACCATCCTGGCTAACACAGTGAAACCCCGTCTCTACTAAAAAATACAAAAAACTAGCCGGGCGAGGTGGCGGGCGCCTGTAGTCCCAGCTACTCGGGAGGCTGAGGCAGGAGAATGGCGTAAACCCGGGAGGCGGAGCTTGCAGTGAGCCGAGATCCGGCCACTGCACTCCAGCCTGGGCGACAGAGCAAGACTCTGTCTCAAAAAAAAAAAAAAAAGAAAGCAGGTATAAAAGTGTTGCCCTGAAAAAATGTAATGGCCAGAAGACTACCTCCTGCCTCAGCTGCCCATTTTCTATTCAGTCAGTGAAGTAGGCCCTTTGCAGAAATAAAAAATACGGGTAGCAGTGGCAACCAGTGTAACAGAGGAGCTAATCAGATAGATGTGATGCTTTGAAATCTGTGCATGTTGCTGCATGTACAAGTCTTTATGAGAACATCTGCTTTCATTTCTCTTGGGCAGACTCCTAGGAGTGGAATGGCTGGATCGTACTACAGGTGTGTGCTGAACATTTCAAGAAAATGCCACTGCAGTGGCTCATGACTATAATCTGAGCACTTTCAGGGGCAAGGCAGGACAATCACCTGAGCCCAGGAATTGAAGACCAGCCTGGGCAACATAGTGAGACCCTGTCTCTATAACAATTAAAAAAAAAAAAAAAAATTAGCCAGGGGTGGTAGTGCATGCCTATAGTCCCAACTACTTAGGAAGCTGAGGCCAGAGGATCACTTGAGCCCAGGAGGTCATGGATGCAGTGAGCTATGATTACACCACTGTACTCCAGCCTAAGAGACAGAGTGAGATCCTATTTCGAAAAAACTAAAAACAAACTCAAAAAAAAAAAAAAAAAAAACAAACCCAACTCTTTTCAAAATGGTTATGCTGGGTCACATTCCCAACATCCTGTCAGCAATGTGGAGAGTCCCAGCTCCTCAAACCCCCACAACGTTAGGTATCACAGCCATTCGAATGGGGGCTTTGGCTGTGGTTTTAATCTGCATCTCGCTGATGGCTAAACTTTTCAGGTACTTAATTGCTGTCTATACATTTTTCTGGTAAAGTGTCTGTTCAAGTCACTTGCCTCTTTTTGATTGGGTTACCTGTTTTCTTAATATTGTTTTTTGGTTCTTGGTTTGTTTTGTTTTTTTTTTCCTGACACAGGGTCTCGCTCCATTGTCCAGGCTGGAGTACAGTGGTGTGATCGTGACTCACTATAGCCTCAACATCCCGGGCTCAAGTGATCCTCCCACCTCAGCCTCCCAAGTAGCTGGTACTACAGACACACAACACCATACCTGGCTAAATTTTTTTTTTTTGGAGACAATCTCACTCAGCCGCCCAGGCTGGAGTGCAGTGGTGCAATTTGGGCTCACTGCAACCTCCACCTCCCGGGTTCAAGTGATTCTCATGCCTCAGTCTCCCAAGTGGCCGGGATTACAGGCATAAGCCACTACAGTTGGCTAATTTTTGTATTTTTAGTAGAGATGGGGTTTCGCCATGTTGGCCAGGTCGGTCTCGAACTCCTGACCTCAGGTGATCCGCCTGCCTGGGCCTCCCTAAGTATTTTTGTTTTTGTTTTTGTTTTTTTTTTTTTTGAAGAGACAGGGGTCTCACTTTATTGCCCAGGATTACTGAACGACTGGCTTCAAGCAATCCTCCTCCCAAAGTGCTGGGATTACAGGTGTGAGCCATAGTACCCAGCCAAAATTGAGTTTTGAGAGTTCTTTACCTATTCTGGATACATGTCACCTAAAAGACATTTGCTAATATTTTCTGCCGGACTGGTTTGTCTTTCATTCTCTGTGTTTTCTAAAGAGCAGAAGTTTTAAATTTTGATCAAATCTAATTTATAAATGTTTTCTTTTACGCATTTTATCTTTGATCTCATATCTAAAAGCTGTTTGCTTAATTCAAAATCTCAACAATTTTTCTAATTTTTGGTTTTATGTTTAGGTATATGATCCAATGAGTTTTTTTTTTTTTTTTGAGACGGAGTCTCGCTCTTGTTGCCTTGCTCGAGTGCAATGGCGCAATCTCAGCTCACTGCAACCTCCATCTCCTGGGTTCAAGCAATTCCCCTAATTCCCCTGCCTCAGCCTGCTGAGTAGCTGGGCTACAGGGGCATGCCATCACACCTGGCTAAATTTTTTTTTTTTTTGGCATTTTAGTAGCGATGGGGTTTCACCATGTTGCCCAGGATGGTCTGGATCTCCAGACCTCGTGATCTGCCCACCTTGGCCTCCCAAAATCCTGGGATTACAGGAGTAAGCCACCTCGCCTGGCCTGAGTTAATTTCTGTACATGACATCAAGTTCTCCTTTTGCATAAGAATATCTGATTGACTAGCCAGGTGCGGTGGCTCACACCTGTAATCCCACAATTTTGGGAGGTCAAGGCGAGTGGATCACCTGAGGTCAGGAGTTCGAGACCAGCCTGACCAACATGGTGAAACCCCGTCTCTATTAAAAATACAAAAATGGCCGGGCGCGGTGGCTCAAGCCTGTAATCCCAGCACTCTGGGAGGCCAAGGCGGGCGGATCACGAGGTCAGGAGATCGAGACCATCCTGGCTAACACGATGAAACCCCGTCTCTACTAAAAAAAAAATACAAAAAACTAGCCGGGCGAGGTGGCGGGCGCCTGTAGTCCCAGCTATTCGGGAGGCTGAGGCAGGAGAATGGCGTAAACCCGGGAGGCGGAGCTTGCAGTGAGCTGAGATCCGGCCACTGCACTCCAGCCTGGGCGACAGAGCGAGACTCCGTCTCAAAAAAAAAAAAAAAAAAAAAAATACAAAAATTAGGGCCAGGTGCGGTGGCTCAAGCCTGTAATCCCAGCACTTTGTGAGGCTGAGACGGGCGGATCACGAGGTCAGGAGATCGAGACCATCCTGGCTAACACGGTGAAACCCCGTCTCTACTAAAAAATACAAAAAAACTAGTCGGGCGAGGTGGCAGGCACCTGTAGTCCCAGCTACTCGGGAGGCTGAGGCAGGAGAATGGCATAAACCCAGGAGGCGGAGCTTGCAGTGAGCTGAGATCCGGCCACTGCACTCCAGCCTAGGCGACAGAGCGAGACTCCGTCTCAAAAAACAAAAACAAAAACAAAAAAAACACAAAAATCAGCCGGGCGTGGTGGTGAGTGCCTGTAAACCCAGCTACTTGGGAGGCTGAGATAGGAGAATCGCTTGAACCTGGGAGAAGGAGGCTGCAGACAGCCGAGACTGTGGCACTGCACTCCAGCTTGGGCAACAGAGCAAGAGTCCGTTTCAAAAGAAAAAAAAGAATATCCAATTGTTCCAGCCCCTAATTGTTTTTCAATATTGCTTTTTAATTTAAAATTATTTCAAACTTCAAAGTCACAAGAATACAAAGAAACCTTGTACCCTTACCCAGACTCACTAACTACGAACATGGCTTCATTATTCCCACTTTATACAAACAAAAAGGTTTTTTTTTGGTTTTTTTTTCCTGAATCATGTTTGCCTTACTTTTTTCTCTTTTCTTTTTTCTTTTTTGAGATGGAGTCTTCCTCCGTCGCCAGGCTGGAGCGCAGTGGCGCAATCTTGGCTAACTGCAACCTCCACCTCCTGGGTTCAAGTGATTCTCCTGCCTCAGCCTACCAAGTAACTGGGACTACAGGTGCCGCCACCACGCCTGGCTAGTTTTTGTATTTTTAGTAGTGACAGGGGTTTTCCCATGTTGGCCAGGATGGTCTCAATCTCTTGACTTCGTGATCCGCCTGCTTCGGCCTCCCTAAGTGCTGGGATTACAGGCGTGAGCCACCGTGCCTGGCCCCCCTTACTTTTTTCTATAATGTATACTGGTATTTCTTTCTTTCTTTCTTTTTTTTTTTTTTGAGACGGAGTCTCGCTCTGTCGCCCAGGCTGGAGTGCAGTGGCCGGATCTCAGCTCACTGCAAGCTCCGCCTCCTGGGTTTACGCCATTCTCCTGCCTCAGCCTCCGGAGTAGCTGGGACTACAGGCGCCCGCCACCTCGCCCGGCTAGTTTTTGTATTTTTTTAGTAGAGACGGGGTTTCACCAGGTTAGCCAGGATGGTCTCGATTTCCTGACCTCGTGATCCGCCCGTCTTGGCCTCCCAAAGTGCTGGGATTACAGGCTTGACCCACCGCACCCGGCCAAATTTGAAGCCGCGCCCAACATGGGGCACGAATCTTTTTTTTTTTTTGAGACAGAGTCTTGCTCTGACCCCCCCAGGCTACAGTGCAGTGGCCCGATCTCGGCTCACTGCAAGCTCCGCCTCCCAGGTTCACGTCATTCTCCTGCCTCAGCCTCCCGAAAAGCTGGGACTACAGGAGCCTGCCACCACACCCAGCTAATTTTTCATATTTTTAGTAGAGATAGGGTTTCACCGTGTTAGCCAGGACGGTCTTGATCTCCTGACCTCGTGATCCACCTGACTTGGCCTCCCAAAGTGCTGGGATTATACGTGTGAGCCACCACACCTGGCCATATATTGGTATTTCAACTAAGATTTGATTTGAAAAAAGGGCTCTCCTGCTTTCTAATGAAAAAAGCTAGAGAAGTACCGCTCTCATTCAGAATATAAATCCTCATCACTGGGACCCTAAACTTTCTTGCTCAACACTAAATGGAAGGTTTTTTTGAGGATCAAATTGTTTTGAAAACCAACTTTGGCTTAAAGAGATAGAAAAAAACTGTTAACAAAAACCAGGGTATTGGCCAGGCATGCTGGCATATGTCTGTAGCCTCAGCTACTCAGGAGGCCGAGGTTAAGAGAACCCCTTGACCCCCAGAGTTAGAATCCAGTCTGAGCAACATGGCAAAACCCTGTCTCTTTAAAAACAAACAAACAAAACCACCAGCTATTTAAAAAAAAAAAACTCTGAAGAAATTTATATATTGTCTTTCTAAAACTGAAAAGGATCAAATATATCAAAATTACCTTAATTCAGAAGGGCTTCTGGTCTGGTCTCCAATACATGTAAACTTGTCTGAAACAAACAGAAAAGGTTGTATTTGTATTGCATTCAGGTTGTGAATAAAATATTCTATTTTGCTAGTAGTTACATTTTGTACAACAGCACATAATTTTGACCCTTCCCTATTACTATTTCTCCCCCAAAATTGTTTTATTTAGCACTACTGTCATATTTTGTTTTTCAGTGTGGGAACAAAATAAGAAATCAGATCTCAGTTTCTTTAAGAATCCTTAGGGCCGGGCGCGGTGGCTCAAGCCTGTAATCCCAGCACTTTGGGAGGCCGAGACGGGTGGATCACGAGGTCAGGAGATCGAGACCATCCTGGCTAACACGGTGAAACCCCGTCTCTACTAAAAATACAAAAAACTAGCCGGGCGACATGGTGGGCGCCTGTAGTCCCAGCTACTCCGGAGGCTGAGGCAGGAGAATGGCGTAAACCTGGGAGGCGGAGCTTGCAGTGAGCTGAGATCCGGCCACTGCACTCCAGCCTGGGTGACAGAGCGAGACTCCATCTCAAAAAAAAAAAAAAAAAAAAGAATCCTTAGAAATGCCCCAGAGAAAATACCTTGAATTAAACTAAAAAGTATGGTAGAGGTTAGAATCCTATCACTAGAAAAATTACAGTAACAATTTAAAAACTAATGCAGGCCGGGCCCAGTGGCTAACCCCTGTAATCCCAGCACTCTGGGAAGCTGAGGCAGGCAAATCACCTGAGGTCAGGAATTGGAGACCAGCATGGCCAACATGGTGAAATCCTACCTCCACTAAAAATACAAAAAAAAAAAAAAAAATTAGCCAGACGTGGTGTCACAAGCCTGTAATGCCAGTTCCTCAGGAGGCTTAGACAGGAGAATCGCTTGAACTTGGGAAGCGGAGGTTGCAGTGAGCTGAGATCACACCACTGCACTCCAGCCTGGCTGACAGAGCAAGACTCTGTCTCAAAAAAAAAAAAAAAAAAAAACACAGAACAGGCTGGGCATGGGGGCTCACACTTGTAATCCCAGCACTTTGGGAGGCTGAGGCGGGTGCACCACCTGAGGCCAAGAGTTCGAGACCAGTCTGGCCAACATGGCGAAACCCATTTCTACTAAAAATTCAAAAAAAGCTAGGCATGGTGGCGGGCGCCTGTAATCCCAGCTACTTGGGAGGCAGAGGTGGTAGTGAGCAGAGACCACGTCATTATACTCCAGCCTGGGTGATAGAGCAAGACCATGTCTCAAAAAAAAAAAAAAAAAAAGCTACAGTGGCTCCCGACTGTGTAATCCCAGCACTTTGGGAGGCCGAGGTGGGTGGATCACAAGGTCAAGAGTTCGAGACCAGCCTGGCCAATATGGTGAAACCCCGTCTCTACTAAAAATACAAAAAAATTTGCTGAGCGTGGTGGCGGCGCCTGTAGTCCCAGCTACTCAGGAAGCTGAGGCAGGAGAATTGCTTGAACTTGGGAGGCGGAGATTGCAGTGAGTCAAGATTGTGCTACTGCACTACAGCCTGGGCGACAGAGCGAGATTCCATCTTAAAACAACCACCACACACACACACACACACACACAGATAAAACACTAATACAATTCAACAAATTCTGAAGATTAATTTAATCCAGACTTTGCCTGTTGGGCATGACAGTGGAAAGCACTTCATCTGAATCTCAAGGAAGCCACTAAATAACTACTTCCTGAGTCCTGGCAAGTCTATGTTGGGACACTTCCAATCCCTCTCTCTGTCCCTCTCCTGCTGACAGGGTCCCATCCAGTGCCTGGCCCTGGTGCCCAGAAAGGTGGCTTGAATGGTGACAGAGATCACAAGAGAGGTTTCTGACTCCTCTTGACACACTTCTGGTGGAATGAAAATATGTCCAATTCTAGATTTCTTCTGATTTCAGAACATTTATTTTATTATTTTTGAGACAGCAGTCTCGCTCTGTCACCAGGCTAAAGTGCAATGGCATGGTTTCAGTTCACTGCAACCTCCGACTCACTGGTTCAAGCGATTCTCCTGCCTCAGCCTCCTGAGTAGCTGCGATTATAGGCACACGCCACCACACCCAGCCAATTTTTGTATTTTTAGTAGAGACGGGGCTTCACCACGTTGGTCAGTATGGTCTCAATCTCCTGACCTTGTGATCCGCCCGCCTCGGCCTCCCAAAGTGCTGGGATTACAGGCCTAAGCCACTGCGCCTCGCCTGATTTCAGAACATTTAAAGATGCTTTTGTAATCGCTCCCTCAAATTAAACTATGTGAAAAGACCACTTGTGGAGGCTTCACAGGTCACCACCTGCCTATTAATTCAGTGTCTTGTGAGGCTGCAAACTAACATGCACACATCTAGTCTGGAGTCAGGAGATGAATCAACAAACTGAAATGTCTCCCAGTTGAACTGTGAATTCTAATTCATGTGCTTAAAGTAGTTTCGTTTTGCAATTATGCTGCTTATGTACAAGCAAGCACATACTTTTCTGGCAGTAAAAGTGAGTGTGGAAGGAAAACAGTTTGGCAGTTCCTCAAAAAATTAAACACAGAATTACCCCATAACCCAGGAATTCTACTTCTAGGTATATTCCCAAAAGAACTGAAAGCAGGGACTCAATGCATGTATACATTATGTTCTTAGCAGCAGTACTCAGTAGCCAGAAGAAGGCGGAGACAGGCCAAATACCCACTGAGCATGAATGGATAAAGAAAATGTGGTCTGTCCAAACAATGGAATATTATTCAGCTATAAAGATAGAACAGGCCAGGCGTGGTGGCTCACGCCTGTAATCCCAGCACTCTGGGAAGGTGAGGCGGGTGGATCACCTAAGGTCAGGAGTTCGAGACCAATCTGGCCACCCCGTCTCTATTAAAAATACAAAAATTGCCGGGCGTGGTGGCTCATGAGGTCAGCAGATTGAAAACATCCTGGCTAACACGGTGAAACCCATCTCTACTAAATATACAAAAAATTAGCCAGGCATGGTGGCGGGCGCCTGTAGTCCCAGCTACCCGGGAGGCTGAGGCAGGAGAATGGCATGGCGTGAACCCGGGAGGCGGAGCTTGCAGTAAGCCAAGGTCGTGCCACTGAACTCTAGGATGGGCGACAGAGCAAGCCTCCGTTCTAAAAAAAAGAGTCCTGGTCCTGTCTCTGTTAGAACACGGACAAACCTCAGGAATACGCTAAGTGACAGGTGCCATATACAAAAGGCCACATATACGACCCCATTTATGTGAAATATCCAGAACACACAAATCCAAAGAGACAGAATGCAGTGGTTGCCAGGGGCTGCATGTGTGTGTGTGTGCGTGCACATGTGTGTGCAGTAGACAACTGCAGGGTTTCCTTTTGGGGTGATGAAAATGTCGTGGAATTAGGTAGAGACGGTGGTTGCAATACATTGTAAATGTACCAAATGGCACCGAATCACTCACTTTAAAATGGTTTAATTTTATGTTATGTGAATTCTACCTCAGAAAAAAAAGTTGGGTGTGAAAGTTGGGGCACACAGGTAAACAATGAATGATGCAAACATACCCCATGAAGCGAAGCCTCGCTCCAGGGCAAGGTCCCATAAGCACACCTGAAAGGTGCCATCAAATCATCAAGTTTCAAAGCATGGGTCTCAACCTCAGCACAACGAACATTTTAGGCAGGGGTGTGTGTCCCCGTAGGATATTTGGCAGCATGCCAGCACCGCTCCTTTCCCCAGCTGTAATAGCCATCTGGCGTCCAAGGGGCAATACTGACCCCAGTTGAGAACTCTTTAACTGTCACAATTATCTCAATCACTAAATATAAATCTTTTCAAAGTACTTTCCAGATCAAGGGACAGGTAGGAAAAGAAATACTACTCAAAAAAATATATACATAATCTGCTCTATTTTATCATTACTAATTAATTTTTTTGAGACAGGATCACCCTCTGTCATCCAGGCTGGAGTGCAGTGGCACAATCATGGCTCACTGCAGCTTCGACTTCCTGGGCTAAGGTGATCCTCCTGCCTCAGCCTCCTGAGTAGCTGGGACCACAGGCATGCGCCACCATGCCCAGCTAATTAAAAAAAAAAAATTATTTGTAGACATGGGGTCTCGCCATACTGCGCAGGCTGTCTTGAACTCCTGGGCTCAAACGATCCTTGCAGGTCAGCCTTCCAAGGTGCTGGGATGGCAGGCATGAAGCACCGCACCCAGCTGCTCTATTTTAATGCCTAGATTGCCCTGTGGCTCAAATCATGACTCAAGATTGGAGTAAGGATGCTAAAAGTGCTATCAAATCACCTTAGCCTGGACTCACATGGAGAGTTGTCTGGACCCATTTCTGGCTAAAAACAAGATGACCCAAATGTATGCTCTTTTTTTTGACTTATCCAGCTCACAGAACCCCACACTAAGGACAGGACTACTGGTCCCACAATAATGTAACCCTAAACCAGTAGCACTACCCTTAAAGAAAATCAGGAGCTGGGCCCACACCTGTAATTCCAGCATTTTGGGAGGCCGAGGTGGGTGGATCACCTGAGGTCAGGAGTTCGAGACCAGCCTGGCCAACATGATGAAATCCCGTTTCTACTAAAAATACAAAAATTAGCCGGGCACAGTGGCATGCACCTGTAGTCCCAGCTACTCAGGAGGCTGAGGCAGGAGAATCACCTGATCCTGAGAGGGGGAGGCTGTAGTGAGCCAAGATGGCATCTCTGCACTCCAGCCTGGGTGGCAGAACAAGACTCCATCTCCAAAAAAAAAAAAAAAGATTGGGCACTTTTTCAAGGCTCTTGATAAAATCAACTGACTCTATAAAGCTAATTTTAGCAGTATTAAATATTAATATGACTTCTTTGTACATATATCCTAGTATTCATACTTTTATTTCAACATTTTTCAAAATCTAAGAGCTGAATCCTTAAGACATACCTAGAGAATTTCTCTACAGGCTGCATTAATATTTCGAATCAAGGGGATGATTTCTTCTCTATCAACATAACCCTACGATGGGAAGCACACACAAGTGCACCACTGGTTATCTACAATTCTGAGATTCCCA